TTTCTAAACGATAAGCACGCGCGCCAATAAAAAAAGTAGCAATTACGACCATTGGATTTATTCTCGCCCTACGTGCAAAGTCGAAAAGCTTGTGCAAGCGCCAGAACTGCTCAATTGACCGATTCTGGGGCTTTATGTACTACCCAAAGGGATTTGCGTATATAGTTATACATATTGGGCAGCGAATTGACTCTAATGGCACCACCAGGTGGTGCTGTTCGCGCTTCGCGCGTATACCGGGCTGCAGTGCGTCTAGTATAGTATTAAACAATATAACTACTGTGCTATATTAGGCTGGCTGCCTTGAGCCTGTAGGCTGTAGCAGGTGAGTGATAGTATTACAAAATATTGTTTTGTCCAAAACACGACATAGTTTCTTCTTCTTCTTCCATGTTCTGACTATCATCAGATTAGAGATTGTGTCATTGACACTATAGGGGGTGGGCACTGGGAGTATTTTTTACGTCTTCGGTGGTTCTTTTGTATCTTCATTACTTCAGACTGGCCCGCCATTTTGTGTCATTATCCGAGACACGAGGTTTTCACGATCCTTATTGTGTGGAGCCAGGTTTTTACAGTTAGAAAGTTCAGTGCAATGACCCACATCCTAAAATTGAAAAAGTGGTTTTGGATTTTAGGAGATACACTGTAAAATGCCGGGTTCCCTGCGTTAAACTAAAACATTACTTGCAAATTATATTCCGGTATCTTAAGTATTATGGAAGTTCAAGAATGCTGTATGGATTTTATGTCTGTGTGCATACATGTGATCGTGTGTAACTGCATATACTGTGCCCCTGTGTTGTGCGTGAGTATGTGTCTGTCCAAAGCAACTTCGTAAGCAGAGTTATGCATAAGTTACAAACGATTAGTTAGTAGTAACTAATAATAATTTACTGTTATCAACCATTGTCCATATAAGGAATAGGTTATTTCATGTTATTGCCATTTTTCTCGACATTACAGGTATTAGAAAAGAAATTACTGAAACTAGAATCTACAACAGAGAAAGAACCAGGAAGTGATATATGGTAGGGATGTTAGGATAGGGAAATAAATCCAATTTAAACATTACGAAAGAGAAATGTTGTTTCTGAATGTTAGTAAATATCATGGCGGTCATCGCAGAAATTATTATATCGACTTGCACGCTAAAATGACATCTTGTACGCCATCCCCCGATCGATGCCATATCGTAAAAATTCACGATTGAGCGAATTAATATCCGACGCGTGTTTTGGGTTAACTAATTTTTTGTCGATCCCAGCGGCGAACGGCCGACCGTGACGGAGAACACGCATTGTACGCAGTACCAGCCACAAGTGAGAATCCTGAGGCGGCCGTCGGGGGGTGCCGCCGCGTGCGAGAACGGCGCGTTGAAGGGGTCGGCGCAGCCGGCGAAGACGCTGGAGCAGAGGGAGGCGAAGTATGCGGAGGCGAGGCTCCGCATCATGGGTGCCGCCTCGCGAGACAACGTGCCGCCGCCGCCGCAGAACTCTGTGAGGTATATAGCTAGGTCTCATCGTAGATGTTATTCGCAATGCGAGGTCAGGTATTGTTAGCTAGCTCTCTATCTATCAGGTATTGTTAGCTAGCTCTCTATCTGTCAGGTATTGTTAGCTAGCTCTCTATCTATCAGGTATTGTTAGCTAGCTCTCTATCTATCAGGTATTGTTAGCTAGCTTAGGTATTGTTAGCTAGCTCTCTATATATCAGGTATTGTTAGCTAGCTATCTATCTATCAGGTATTGCTAGCTAACTCTCTATCTGTCAGGTATTGTTAGCTAGCTATCTATCTATCAGGTATTGCTAGCTAGTGAAATGATGCTCGTGTCGTATCGTATAGTCAAGTAATGTTCTAAATCTTGCGTTGTGTATTGTTCTTAACCCGTTGTTTCGTTTCGTGTTTGCGTTTCCGCTTGAAGGCGATGTCAGACTTGTCTCTGTATCTCTTGTGCGACGTAAGGCGAGTAGCAAGTAACTTCACAGTAGAGATAACACGTATTTGTTGTAACAGACGAGGTGACTTTATTCTACTCAGAGAATAACTAAATACAGACTAGGTAATGTTTAACAGCACATATAAGTTCCCCTATTTTTTCACTACGTGTGGCTACCCCGTCTGACTACGTGACTGTCCCTAACTGACTCGCTGGCTACGACTGACTGACTAAGACTCCATGGCTAAGACTAACTGGCTACGTGTCGCGGCAGGGTTTGGTATGGTGTGGGGTGCGTATATTCTGACCATAGTGCTGTGGCTATGGGCGAGGGAAACTGAGCCCAGCTGTGAATAGATTTTATATCGAACTTGATATCAAACCAGGGTCACATGGCCGAAGGTCTGGCTGGTGATTAGACCACACCCTTACTACGCAGTTAGAAAAACAAGGCGGTCACGATGTGGCTATTCTTAACCGTGCTCCGTCTTAGCACTGATGTCATCGCGCTGAGAATATCCCAACAGCTTTTCGCGTAGCACTGCTACACACGCCCCCTGCCAGAAAAGGTTGCTCAGCTGAACCGCCGACAACCGGTGTCCAAAGAGTTCCACGTGGTGTAAGTAATAAAGTTACTAATACGTGAACTCGTACACTAACAAAAAAATGACTTAACTAACACGATATATCAACAGGGTATTTTCTTAACTAACTTCCTTAACTAACCGCGCGTGTATACAATTCAAATCGTTTAGGCTAAATATAACTTAATAATAATCATAAGCCATGATCAGTGTATGTCCATACTCGCGTTTAACGTTAAAGTCGCGCGTACAACACTCACTCGATGCTCAGCAACTAAACCGTATGCACAGTTAACTCTCTTCGGGATTCGTTGCATGGGTTGAAGGGCAGGGTGGAGAGGCGGGTAGACATAATGTGTAAGAGAAAATGCGAAGAGTTTCTCAGTGTTTTGTCCATGCCTTCGCCAAGAGTCCTTTAACTCTGTTCATTAGGCGCATTCCTCCACCTTGCCCGGCTGTGGCAGTTACTGGTGGCTCCTGTACAGTTACTGTTGGCACCATGGGATGGGCACTCGTTGGAGCCATTGTTATCAAATCGACTCCTGCTGTCGTCTCACTAGGCTCACTTACGACGCCTTCCTGCGCAGTTAATCTTGCCCGTTTTACTGCCTGTATCGGGCAATTTGATTCACCCGATTCCTCTCTCGCTTTTCGTCTTTTGGCCGACTGCTCACTGCCGGTATCCTCTTCTAAATCTGATTCCACATCAAAGCTAGTGGATTCGTTTTCCGACTCTGATGGGGTGCAGATGATCGTCTCATCATCACTTTCGCCAAGTTTCTGAGTGGTGTTAGGCTCCTGAGCCTCAATGTCACCCGCAGATGGGTCCTCTGCAGTTGGATCGACTGCACGCAACATTGCCGGCTGCGGTTGTTCCGTAAAATCCGTTGAAGCCTGTGCCTTGGGTGCTGTGATAAAATGACTTAGAGGGAGTTCGTCTTCCTCATCGAACTCATCATCACTACTACCTTCCTCGTCGGGTGGATATGCCAATGTTGCTGCCCACTGAGGCTGACGACGTCCTCTCTCTGGCACATCTTCTTGCTGTGTCGGCTTGCTGCAGTCCCAC